TTAATTAATCAATCATCCTAAATTGGGATGAATGGATATCAAAATTGTTAATTAGTAACTATCAGAGATCACATTATTGGGAGGATAAATGACTAGAGTCTAGCTTTTAAAAAGTATACAAGCTTCTGTTACTTATTATACCCAAGAGTGTGGTTTCAGAAGAGGCAGCCATGTTAGTCTGTGCTAGCATATCAGGCAAAGTCAAAGGAAAGATAAAAAAATAAAAATGACAAAATGTTCAGGCACCTTAAAGTCTTACTGCTATATTTGAATGTGAGCTTTCATAGACAACTCCACTTCTCAAACATATACTCAAGAATGTGACATCCATTCGGAGCAGGGCAGCCTGAAAAATTATGAAATCTAAAAATGGGCATATACTTTCTGGAGGTTATGATTTGCTCTGAGGAGAATGCCAGCATTTTCATGGCTGGTTTGCCTGGAAAAAAATCCATCCATATTAATAAGATAGTGCTTCCAGTTATGAACCAGTGTGAGAAAGTGTCATTTGTTCTTCCAGATAAATTTAAAATGGATATAGTCCTAATTGTGGATTTAGAAGTAATAGAAAAATAGGTGAACTGATAGTTCATTGTTCCTCATATAAAAACACAAAAAACCTTTTACAAGGCAATCGAAAGAACTTCAAATTTCCAACAGGAAATTAAAATAAACTAGTTTACACATGCATAATTGCCTTTTTATAAAAAAATAGGAGAATTCAAAATTGTGTACATTTGTTTGGACACTATAGATGTTTTGGGGGCCCCATTTGGCCATGTACCTGTCCCCCCAGTAATAAAACTATACATCTGTGGGGTGTGTACCTCCATGCAACATACCACAATTTGGGGTTCTACTAAGGAGGAGCATGATCAGCATCTTCAAGAAGTCCTGAATGCTGCTAGAATTGTGAATTCCAAAATGTACAGGAAGAAATGTGTTTTCTGTATTTTACAAATCACATTTTAGAAGACATTCTTTCTCTTAGTAATGGGAAACCAGACCCAAAGAAAGTAATGCCAGTAAACATAATGACACCAGCCACAGTTAAAGAAGGCTGTTTGGTGATTTGCAGCAATAGTGGGAAATCTATCCCAAATTTCTCTACTGTGGCTGCACCTCTTCTGACACTTCTTGAACTGAAAAATAAATAATGCTGGGAAGCAGAAGAGGAAGGCTCTTGGACAGGTTTAAAGCAGCTTCTCTATGCTGTAATCATTTGACACCATCTTTTAATAGTTAAGGGGGATATAGTAATAGATTCAACAATTTGTTGACCTTCTCACCTCAGTGTTAAGGTGTTTTTAGTTTAAAAAACTGGCCACAGACATATGGTGTGTGGTTTACAAAAAGCTGTATACAGATGGATCTTGAAGACTCTCTGCAGAATAAAGTTGTATTGGGCTAGCTCCTCGTTTTTGTTTCTCTGTCAGTGAGCCATAATATGTTACACCAGTCTGTTTCTGAACATAATTCAAAGTGCTGGTTATGACAAATAAAAACTTCTATACAACTTCAGTCCAAGCTATCTGAAGGACCCTACTCTTACACAAACATCCCTGAGCCATAGAGACTTTTTCTTGGTCCCCTCCACCTTCAGAGATGTGTTTGATGGGGATATGAGAGATGACTGCTACCATGCTGTAAAACGCCCTTCCATGGGAGCCTAAAAAGGCCTGCTCCTTGCAGTCCTTCCACCAATGCAAAGACCTTTTTTGAGCAGTTTACTAGTTGTTTTGGGAAGTGGCTCAGTGAGTAGATGCAGTCCATGTAAACTTCTTTTAATACAATTCTGTTTCAATTTTATGTGTTGTAACATTGTAACCTATTGTAACATTATAATACAGTACTGTAACCTTTTACTATGCTTGTTCTTTTATCCAGTCAGTCATGTTGAGCCTCAGTTTTGGAAGAAAGGCAGCACAGAAATCAAATAAATAAATGCATAGTCACTTTATTACCCAAACCCTGTTTCACAGCTCCATGTGCCTAATGGGAATGATGTCATTATCAGCTGCAATTTGCTGCTGATTGAAGACTTACTTTTCTGATTTCAGGCTCATACACAATGACATGAGGTCATTTACACTCCAAAGCTGAAAAAGGAAGTATTTAAATAGCAGCAATCTGCCTCCGATGATGACATCCTTCCCATTGTGCAGGTTGATTTCATCCCACATGATTTTGGAGCATTATTAAAGTCACAGTTGCAATGGCTTCAAATGCATTTGGATTTATATATTTATATATATAAATCCAAATGCATTCTACATGAAGTCATAGAGTCAATAGAAAACAGTGGCTACAGGTCTTTTCAAATCCATAAACCTGACAGACACATGGAAACCTAGACCTGTAACTTAAAATTGAGATATATCATCCAAAATGTCAGAATCACACAAATTATAGCACCTCCAAGCGAAGTATTCACCAGAACGGAATAGTGAATAGTGTGTTTTGTTCCATGTACTATTCCATTGGTGAAAGCCTCTCCTGCTTGCAGAGACTCTGTTTCCATCCTTGTGGAAAAGTCAGACATCATACCTTTTTTCTGTTTCTGAATGGTTTATTCAGGACGCCTTACTTTACTTGTTGCTAAGTCATTACACCACTCATTTCAACTTCATTAAGTTAGATTCTGTTTTTGTTAGTGTTAGTTGTTTTGAATTATCTTAGAACTGCAGCGCTAGAAGAAACTGTATGGATCGAGTTCAGCCCCTGTCAAGGAGGCACAGTGGGGAATCGAACTGCCAACCTCTGACTCCACAGCCACTTGTTCCATGCACTCATGGAACAATAGGAATCCTGCTTTTTCTGGCAGTTATACATTCAAATTCAACTCAGCAGCTGCAACTTAAATTCAATAATACCAATCCTAGGTATTCTTATCTAGAGAATTTCTTTATGAATTAATATTTGATCCTTTTGTGGTGTCATCTATAGTCATGTGAAAAAGAAAGTACACCTTCTTTGAATTCCAGAGTTTTACGTATCAGCATAATAAAAATCATCTGATTCTTAGCAGATCTCAAAATTAGCTAAATAGATTCTCAGATGAACAACAACACATGTCGTGTTACACTGTGTCATGATTCAATTTACAAAAATAAAGCTAAAATGGAAACGCTACGTGTGAAAAACTAAATACACCTTATGATAATATAAGTTGTAAAAACCACCTTTAGCAGAAATAACTTGAAGTAATTGTTTTCTGTATGACTTTATCAGTCTCTCACATTTGGAGGAAATGTGGCCCACTCTTCTTTACAACTTTGCTTCAGTTCATTGAGGATTGTGAATATTTGTTTATGCATAGCTCTCTTAAGGTGCCTCACAGAATTTCAATCGGATTGAGGTCTGGACTTTTGACTGGGCCGTTACAACGCCCTGATTCTTTACTTTTTCAGTCATTCTGTTGTAGATTTGCTGGTGTGCTTGTGATCGTGGCCTCACATTTGACTAGCTTTTTTTTTTTTTTTTGGTATATAGAGGAGTTCATGGTCTACTCAATGACGGCAAGATGGCCAGGTCCTGTGGCTGCAAAACAAGCCCAAACCACCAGTGTGCTTGACAGTTGGTACGAGGTGTTTGTGCTGATATGTTGAATTTGGTTTTCGCCCAATGTGGCACTATGTATTACGGCTAATCTAAGCCATATTACTTGTTCTTTTTAGAGAGAAGAGGCTTTCTCATGGCAACCATTCTAAATAAACCGTACTTGTTCAGTCTTTTTCTAATTGTAGTGTCGTGAACTTTAATATTTAACATCTTAATCGAGGCCTGTAGAGTCTGAAATGTAACTCTTGGGTTTTTTGTTTTGTTTTGTTTTGTTTTTGGTTTGACCTTGGAGTGAATCTGCTTGGACATCCACTCCAGAGACAGATTGGCAATTGTCTCAAATTGTTTTCCACTTGTGAATAATCTTCCTCACTGAAGAATGATGGACTTTAAATTGTTGTACCTTCTGCTTGTTTAGGGTGTTGGTGGCATGGATGCAATGAGTCTTGGCATTGAAACTTGCTTCCCACATTCTCAGACACTGTCTATTCCAATCTATAGTGATTAGTCTATTGATTCATCTGTGAGATTGTCTCCCTGTCTTGCTCTGTCTTGCACCACTGACCATAAATGACCTAAATTTATTTTTTATGAAGATCTGTTTTTGAGAGGGTCTCCTCACATCTCAGTATTCAAAAGCTGCTCATGTTTAAACACACACACACACACACACACACACACACACACACACACACACACACACACACACACACACAGAGGGTCTTCTGGATGACTTTGAGACTGGCTGCCTTATTTGGTCAATCTTTCCATAGTAATGTTACAGGGGGACTGTGAAATTAGAGTTATGAATATCAGAAAAAAAATGTTGGTAAGGACTGTGTTATGAAGAAAACATTTTGTGCTATTTGCGTGATTTGAAAAACTGGCCTCTTGATTTGTGGTTTTAAAAAAGCATTTTCTGTAGAATATTAGAGGGATGAGTTGTGGGAGCCATTTTTGACAATATTGGAAAGGTCAGTGCCACAGTTTGCTGTTTATGTAGCTGATTCATGAAAAAGTCACAGCTGTGTTTGAAGTGCCACAAAGCAGCTAAGCTTTGCATGCAACCAAGTCCTGAACTGTGGCCTTTCCCATGCATTTTAGGATGAGGCTCTGAGTAGCCTATGCACCATGTCAAGCTGACGTAATACTCATCAAACCTCCCATTGGTGTTTTTGTGAGATCTGAGGTGCATCATTTGTCTAAAAGGTACTCCAGTTAGTAACAGTACAATTTAATCTTGATGCAAATGATATGTTTGAGACATGGGCATTTTAAAATAAAACCTTATAAAATCCTCTTTGTAAATTAATGTGAGTGTTAACTTAATGCTTCTAAAGCTAAAATACTATATTAATGGTGGGCACTGTGCTTCAAAATATACTGAAGGTTCTGAAACGTGTTAGCACCTAATCCCCATCTCCATCTCTTTCATCCAGATGAGTTCTTACCTTGTGAATGCAACATTTCATTCCAAAATAACAGAAGCAGCTGATATTATTTTTGGCGTCTTCTACATTGTATTTGGTAAGTGTGACCACTGGAAATTCTCTGCATATGATGTTGATTATATTTCACATTCCAAAGACAGAACTATATTTATACTATGTTGGCAGTACTTAAGTGGTGCTAATGGTTTTGTGTTTTTCTTTTCCTGACTTGTTTCTCACGAGTCAGGAACACAAGCCAAGAACCCCAAATCTGGTTTGTGATTCTGTCTTGTAAGGGGTGCAACACTTTGAGAGTGTGTTCAAACGCTCTCCAGTTTGAATGAGTTGGTAAGTTTTCAGTTTATGGTTTGTTTAGGTGCTGTTCATAGCAAAGGAAGCCAATTAGGAGTAGAAAAGCTGTGTGTATCAGCAGTCAGGCTTTCTCATAAGCCCAGAGTCAGCAGAAATCCGGCTTCCTGTTGTATCCAATGCACACTGTGGCCAGTGTATTCGTTTGCATTTCCCCCTTCGATTAAAAATGAAATAATGGTTTGCATCACAAGTAGACATGGGAGATTCATCTTCATCTCCTGGGATATATGAAGATGAATCTCACTAGCACAGGTGGCCAGTCTGATTAACACCCTCCCCCAGAACCCACCGGTTCACTTACCGCACGGTGTGCATGGCTGGCGTCATTAACAGTGCACCAGTTATGGCACTAACTCAGCTGGTGCGGCCCTGTCTCCCTGCTGAGACAGCCACTCTTGAGTTGTCCCTGCCCCCTTGCTGGAGTGGCTGTCCATGCAGGGAGGTGGGGCAGCACCAGCCGGGCTACTGCTGTGATCGTTGTGCTGTCAACGACACTGGCCACATGTGCTGCGTGGTAAGTTGGCTGGCACTTTCTGTGGTGGGTGTTAATCGGGCCAGACATTTATGCTGCCAAGATTTTTCTTTGGCGCACCCAAGAGATGAAGATGACTCTCCCATGTCTAATCACAAGATTATTCTGGAGATGTATTTGAGGGAAAAAGCATTATGGCATGTTCTGAAAATTTCTTACATAAATAAGAGTATAATAAGACCATTATTCGCCTTCATGGATTGCTGCCTTGTCGTGGCTAAGGGGCTTGAGTAACTCAGAGAAGAACTGACACCAAAGAAAGATGTTCTTCTCATTCTAGGGGATTGGAATGCTAAAGTATAGGGAGTCAAGAGATAAAAGGAACAATAGGGAAGTCTGGCCTTGGAGTTCAAAATGAAGCAGGGCAAAGGCTAATAGAGTTTTGTCAAGAGAACAAGCTGGTCATCACAAACACTCTTTTCCAACAACACAAGAGGCG